ACATCCATGCATCCAAGCTCCACGTTCCATTCTCCATAATGCCTACAAAATAAATCAAAAATAGTGAAGTACCAGGCACTCTTAATGAAATATGCAATTGCCCTAATAATCAACTAAATGCAAGAATTATAAAGTAGAATGCTATAAAAAGATGGAAATAAACATGCAAAATAGGTGCATAAAATGCACCTATCATACATGAAAATAACCTAGTACTCAAATAATAAACTAAAATAGATTTTAAACAAACGGGATATATTTCAAAATATTCCAAGGGGCTTCAAACTGGAATTCCAACCCGTTACTTAATGACTTGTATTCCTCCTTAGCAGCTTCCAAGATAACCTCCTAAGTAGCATTTAAACGGGTGTCGTCAATTTTGGTATAAAGATCGTTGAATAATAGAACTTCGGTTTTCATTTCATACCATCTTGCTAAGATGTCTAGTTCGTCACGATCGTTTCTTGTAGCCCTTTGGTTTTCAGCATTGAAAATATTGGTTAAACGGGTCCAAAACATTGGATCGTTCAACTTGCTTGTGTCGTACACATGAATATAAGCATGTGTAAGAACCAAGAACTCTTCATTGCTCCATGATATAGAACTCATTTTGATTGAAACTAAGAGAGTGGAATATAAAAAACAATATTTGAACAGCTGTATTGGTTTATTTAATAAAGTATTTATGTAACATAAGGTCAATTTATAGTAGTTTCTACACAAAATCGCAGTCCAATCTTCTAATATGTCTGCATTTCATAGTCAAAATTAACTGACGAATGCAGTGTACCAGCCATAAACGCCCTCCAGTCCTGTCCTTCTTCCAAAGCATGAGAAACAAAAAAAATTGGAGGTATTATTGTATGTCGGTCGCTCTCAAACCGTCTCTCCATCAAAAGTCGGTACCAAATGGTTATATGCTGCACACATGATACTTTTGTTATTGACTAAAAAACAATTAACTTTTAAAAGAATTAATTAACAATTAATTTACCGCTGACTCCAACCATCCGTCGTGTGTATGCCCAAACAATGAGCTCCAAAAATCTCTATCTAACACGAAATTAAACAAATGATGTTGGACATCATATGAATGCAATACATAATTTTGGATGACATCCTCACCGCCTGCTACGTAAGGTTGCAGGCGCAACATGGAGAAGTCATGAGCAACACCAAAAACTGGAGGAGGAACGGGGCTTGTTGATTTCATATCAACCTTCTTTTTTGCTTCGGTGTCGTGTGCAACTAAAAACAATATTGAAATGTTTAAATCTATATCTTTCATATAATTCACAAAAACATAAAATCATCGGTTTATAAATAAAACGAATACCTCGGTGTAAGGAGGGCACAAATATTGTGATGGTTTTCGACTCCTCGGTTTATCTGGTGTAACTTCTTTGTCATCATCATCATCATGAAAATAATCTACATTTCCCGTTATTATTAGTTCGTCTTCGTCCGACACATCATCATCAAATTTGTTCCCCGCATTGTCTTTCCTCTCCTCCCACTCCTACATTAAAAATAATATTTTATACTTAATAACGAAATACACATAATTTAATAAGCAATAATATCTAAATAAACAAAATATTTATATTAATGTAACTATAATAACCTCTTTAACTCCACTATAATCATTTACATCAAACACATCATCATCAAATTTGTTCCCCGCATACTCATTCCTCTCCTCCAACACCTACATTAAAAATATAACTTTTTACTCAATAAAAAAAGACACTTTAATAAAAAGTAATTATTATAATCGTAAAGGTAACATCTATAACAACCTTCTCGTCTTGAGTATCACCAAAAACATTTTCAGTTGTATTGTTTTTATTCATCACTTCATCTTGTACAACCTGTATTTTCAAATATAAAATATGAACACAGGTATTCATATATGTTAATAAAATTTAATAAATAGTGTAGCGTGTAACTAACCTGTTCATCATAATTTCTTTGTGACTCTGTCCTACCATCATAAAAAATGTCGCTCCAAAATTGGTCATTATTCACTTCTTCAACAAAAACCTCTGTAGGTTGTCGGTTCATAAACACATGTTGCTCCAGTGCATGTAGTCGTTTCAACACCTCGTCTAGCTTGTGTTTCCCACTGCCCCGACCTCTACCATGGGAGCGACCACTGGACGACATACTAGACGAAGATTCGTCTTGTCTCCTAAAATGGTCCCGTACTGGGGATGGAACTGCTTTCCCTTCACCATATACATACTCTTGAAATGACATATAATAAAAAGATGCCATCTCATCATCACCCGGTAGCATGTTTTGTCTTGGTGGTAGTCCCGCCTAAAAAATTAAACATATTAAAAATGCATATAAAAGTATAATAATCATCTTTGACCAAATCTTGTTCACGTCAACCCATTTCAATTTTTTTGTTCCGCTCCATCGTTTCATCCGAGGCAAGTCTTTATTTTTTCTCGATGCAAATCCACATGCACGAACAGCCGGAATCATCTCATATATCCATATCTACAATTTTTTACAATTACAGTAATAAAAGTTAAGATTAAAATAAAAAACATAACAATAAAACAATTTAAATATAAGAAAATTTTTATACCCTTATTGGAGCTGTAAATCCTGAGACGGAGTACTTTAAAGTTTTACCACCCTCAGAAACTGATAAATTATTATGCATCTTTTTCCATGTATCCTCAAGGTCAACATAAGTAAAATCCCAGAGATAGCTACCCCAAGCGAAGCTAAAAAAACAAAAAAACAAAATTGATTATTATATAAATTATAACTTTAATAAAATAGAATTTTTAACGTAAACAAAATATACCTATTCCAGAGATCCAAATTCTCAGCCAAATAAAACCAATCTTGTGCCACTCGATCGTTAACTTCTTTACCCAAAAAACCTTCACACAAAATGTATATCAAACATACTCTAACTGCATCAACATCGTCAAGTGCTAGGAATGTTCGATTTAAAATTAATCTTTTCAGTCGCCGATTTTCACCGAACTATTAGTATGGTCCGGAAATAACCGTTCACGCAGTAAATATCTTTTTTTACTGCTTATTAATTTTTCTGACCCTTTTCTCCCAATGTTTTTTGGATACTCCCCAAAATTGAAGCCGGTAATCAAACAAAACTCTTCCGGTCCATACACCATTTTCGTATTGCCTACTCGAAAATATAAACGTTTTATTCCATCTGGATATAAAACAGGGTCCGGCCGGATCTGATGAAGGAACATTTTATGAAACAATAATGCGTCCCCTTGTAAACGAGGGACATCAATAAAATAACCAAAGACGGTATCTCTGAAAATAGCACGTCGAGCATCATCTAAAACTTCAAATACTTCCCATATGTTACCGCCACAGCTTTTTAAGTTCGCAAAGGCTTTCGTATTCATTAAACTAAAATCATGCTGTAGAAAAAACACAAAAACAAATTAGATAACTAAAAAATATATTTTTTTTTAAATATATGATTACGAACTGCAAATACAATTTCTTAATTACTAATATATATATTTCCGATAAAAAACAATAACATACACATATATAAACAATTTTCCAAGTTATACAACTAATATATTAACGATAGAAAACAATATCATACATAATTATATAAACATTTTATTAAACATATTTTCAACTTAAACGACAAATATATCAACGACAAATATTCAACTTAAATAAATTTTCAAGTTAAACGACAAATATATAAACAATTTTTATCTTTCTAACTAAAACTAACATTTTATAAGCATATAAACAAAAAAAAATTTAAAAATAAAACGACAAACAAACTAACAGTTTTGCAAGTTATACGACAACTTTATACAAATTTTCAACTCACACGACAAATACAAACAATTTCTAACAATATATATACAACAAATTTTCAACTTATACAAATGTTTTACTTATACGACAAACACAAACAATTTCTAACAATATATATACAACAAATTTTCAACTTATACAAATGTTTTACTTATACGACAAACACAAACAATTTCTAACAATATATATACCACAAATTTTCAACTTATACAAATGTTATACCTATACGACAAATATATATACAAACGACTATTTTGCACTTTATATAAACAACTATACGATTAGAATATACAAGATTTCAGGTTATACAACAACTAAAAAAACAACAAAAATAACAAATTGTAAACATTATCTACGCAGTCTCTACTTGTCTCTACTTGCATTTAAACTTCAAGTATACTAAAAAAATATTAAAACTATCAAACACAACAAAATAACCCTTTTTTAACACTAAATAATACAACAAATGATAAAATAAAGAGATTGTTGACATTAAAAGAGTTAAAATCTAACCATATTTGCGGGATTGTTGATATAATCCTCCATTTTCTTCAAAAACTAGCCAAAATTCCGAGATAGGCCCAAAGTTAGAGAGAGTTTTTGTGTAGAGAAGGGTGAAAAATGAAGAAAAAAAAACGTTTTTATAGTGAAAATCGATGGTATTTCGCAGATGAAAGCCCATTTCGCAGATGAGCCTTCTCATCTGCGAAAGTACAAGTACTTAAAGCACAGTTGTGCTTTAGGCACTTGTACTTTCGCAGATGAGAAGCTCATTTCGCAGATGGGACCTTCTCATCTGCGAAAGTACAACTACTTAAAGCATAGTTGTGCTTTAGGCACTTGTACTTTCGCAGATGAGAAGCCCATTTCGCAGATGGGACCTTCTCATCTGCGAAAGTACAAGTACTTAAAGCACAGTTGTGCTTTAGGCACTTGTACTTTCGCAGATGAGAAGCCCATTTCGCAGATGGGACCTTCTCATCTGCGAAATTAGTGGCTATTTTTGTAATTTCGATTTTTTTTGGCTATTTTTATAATATCATTAGTGTAAATGGTTCTTTGTAAATTTCTCTTACAAATTTGATTTTCTAAAATAATAATTTAATAGTGTTTTTGGAGGTGTCATTGATGACATATCCACGTCGTTGAAGATATGTTCAAAATTCAAATTAACGAAGCCTTCTTAGTTCCTGCTGTTCCTCACCTTGCTTCGAACATCAGTGCTAACTTATATTGGTGAATTCAATGGATATCAATTACTGGAATCGTTTAATGGATTCCAGACCTCGAAGAAATCCAAGGTAAAACCTGTTGCTTTTCTTTTGCTTCTGTGTTCAAAGAAAGTGCGAAGCTACGGTTTTAAAACCCTTTTCCCTCTCTTTTTTCAAACTTTATCCCTTTCAAACCATCTTTCTCTCAAATCTCTCTGAACTTTTAAACCTTTGTGCTCCTTCTGATCAAATCTGTTTTGGTGAGATGATAACATCCTCAATTCCAACCCTAACTGTTCAATCGAGCAATCTTTTGGCGGATCTCGATTCCTCTCATTATCCTGCTGCTCTTGGAATTATCGTTGAATGCCTTCCTCATTCTGCTCTATCTAAGGCATTGACTGCTTCAAAGGATGTTCCATTGAAGTTACTGAGTCTAGCATTCTCTTCTGCAAAGTATAACAAAGCCAAGGATGTCGTATCTTTTGAAGTTACTGGTGGAAAAGTTGTACAACTTTCAAAGCCTATTTTTGCTCGTCTTCTAGGGTTACCCTCCTCAGGTCAGTTTGTTATACCAACTACATAAATACTGATTGCTACATTCAATCAAATGGGACATACACCATACATGACAAAGATCTCACAGTTCAACTATTTGGAACTTTTTCTTTGGGATTCTGTTGACGTGTTTATTTAGAAGGACCAACAGTCTTGACTCTTGATCAATCATTCCTTACTATTCTCTATGGTGTTTTTCATGATGTTTAGGTTGATTATGCAACCATACTTTGGCAAGAATTTGTGGATAGTCTCAACCATTCTAAGAGGGATACAGAACTTTCTTTTCATCGATTTTGGTCTTTAATTGTCTATGGAGCTTACTCTTTCTCCAAAATCCCCATTAACAAGAACGATCGCTCTATAGTGGAGTTTCAAAAGCCATTGATTCCTACCTGATATCCTAATCTTCAACAGGAAACTGCAAATTTGGGTATGTCTATGAAGATTTTGGTGGATGAGGTTCATAAATGTCAGGTAATCAACAATCAAGGTATAATTAAATCTCTTACAGAAGCACAACAAAGAGAGATAATTCTTCAAAAGTCATTGCATGATGCACTTTCACACATCAAGTTTCTTGAGCCTTCTGTAAAGATTTATGATCAACAGGCAATTACAGATAAGTACAATGAGGTTGTTAATGCTATTCAGGTTGTGTATCAGGGAATTCGTAATCAACTGGATCCTATTTCTCAATTTTTAAGTAAAGCCAAAGAAGAAGAGAAAATTCCAGTAATGAGAGAACAAATATCTAAAAAGCAGATTGATAATGATATGAATATGAAATGATTGTTTTATCACTCAAGTGTGGAATGAGGAAACAGTTTGTGATCTAGCCTTTAAAGATGATGTGTCTTTCTTACTTTTACCAAAAGCAAGTTAACACTTTGGAGAATCAAATTGATTTGCTCATTACTCCAAAAGCTTTTTCTCAAAGAAGATTTCTTATCAAGGCTGGTGAAATGATAACTCACAGAGAGTATAATGAAAAGTTGATCAGATTTCATGTGACATTGGGAAAACGTCAAAATGATATATGGAGTTTGAAGGCAATTAAGATTATTGAAATCAAGAAGGGTGATTTGTTCGAAGGAATTTTCCAAAACTATTTGTTCAAGGCTGACTTTCCTTTAATGAACCCAAACGATTCGACTTTCCTTTAACTGAAGATTGTATTGTATTATTCCTTATGATGTAGGGAATTCATTGGTCTTTTGGTATTGACACTTAGATTGGTTGTTACACTTGAGCTTTTTGTAATCACTTACTCCAAAGAGGATTTGGATGAAACTATCTGATACCCAAAAATAACATCACCCACAACACCAAACATTATCAAAAACCACAACAAAAACTTATCAAATCTTGATTAGAAACAAAATATGGTACAAAAAAATATCATAAAATCGATTAAAACTAGCATCAATATACATCGGAAAGGTGCAACGAGAAGAAACAATGCATTTTTTTCAATATAACAAAAAGCCAAAAATATAATCACAAGGGCCAGAAAACTCAACCATAACTACTACCACTACTCCAAAAAAAAACAATACACACTTGTAGTTGTAGATGAAGCCTTTCTTACTTACCACCCAATCTACCTTCTGCTCAAAGAATCTTAATAATATAAACCCAACCCAACCAGACCAAATTACAAATCCGACCCGACCCGACCCGTTTTAATCAGAAGCAGAATCATAGAAGTCACTAGGGCATGGAGTCATTACTTCAGATTCAAGTGTTTGTACTACCCTATGCATTGTGGGCCTCTCTTCTGGTGTGGAAGACACACACTGAATCGCCACTGAAAGAAGAGCATCTAGGGTTTCTGATTCCACTCCTTCACAGTTTGTGTCGATGATTTCTCGTTGTCGGTCTTCTGTTATTAAATAATTCAACTGCAAAGGGTAAAACCGTCATTTCACATGGATTCGGACAGAAAAAAAAAAAACAGTTTCAAAACTACAAAGGGTAAAATGGTCATTTACCCATCCGACAATATTAAGGCCTTTCTCGATAAAGGACGCATCGGTTGGCCTCTTCCCACTTATAACTTCAAGCATAAGCACCCCAAAACTATAAACATCCGTCTTCTCTGTTGCTCTACCACTCTGCATATACTCTACAAAATAGCAAAATGTATGTTCATTCATTTAATTTTTTCTTTACTTGATAAGAAAAAAATAATAATAATAATAATAATAATAATACCTGGAGCAAGATAGCCAAAAGTTCCAGCTACAATTGTTGTGATATGAGATTCTTCATCTTCCAAGAGTTTTGCAAGTCCAAAATCAGAAACCCTAGCCTCAAAATTTCCATCAAGTAAAATGTTACTTGATTTTATATCTCTGTGAATGATTCGAGGAGAACAATCATGATGCAAATAAGCTAATCCTTTTGCAGCTCCCATAATCACATTAATTCGAGCATCCCAATCTAGAAGCTCGGATTTTTCTGAAAAAAGAAAAAAAAAACATTTTTTTTTCAAGAAAATGGAAATTGAAGAAGAAAAGGGTGTTGATTTTTGTAAGTTGTTACCATGGAGAGCTTCATCTAGACTACCACCAGATAAGTAATCATATATTAACAATTTAGAAGTTGGAGAGTTGCAATATCCTCTAAGATTTACTAGATATCTGTGTTTAATGCTTCCAAGAATTTGAAGCTCTCTTTCAAAGAATCGATCAAATCCTTCGTTTAATTTTAGTATTCTTTTCAATGCAAATACGTTTCCATCATCCATTGATAGTTTGTAGACTGTTCCAAATCCTCCAGCACCAATTACATGTTCTTCATTTAAAGTTTCCAGCTTTTTTATAATATCTTTTGAAGAGTATGGTAAGTCTCCATGAAACATCACAATCGATGCACCTGAACAACCAATAAGTATAAAAAACCATTAGAAAAAGTATAAGATATGATCTTTAATTGTTATTAGAAAATTAGAAATAGAAATGAAATTCACCTCCACCAACATCTACTGCAAGACCTTTGGCATCATTTTTACCGAGTTTTTTGTAAAGAAAACAACCCCAGAAACACATAAGTGCAACAAGAAGCAATGCACCAACAGTAGCAGAAGCACTGATAAGTAGCCTCCCAGAGTTTTTCTTTACATTCTGGCTTCCTGTTTTTTTATAAAATAAAAATTATGAATCACAATATTCTTCAACAACATAAAATGGTAAGTAATCTGTTGATTTAAACAAGGAAAATGAATGTGATAGTGTACTAAATAACATAGAGGCTTCCTCAACAAATGACTGTTAATATCATAACTGTTGTAAATTAAAATTATGAATCACATTAAAGAACTAAAAAAATATTAATAAAAAACAAGGATATGTTAATTTTCCTCTAAAAATGAATTTGAGTTGTTAACACAACAATATTTTGTAGATTAAGAAAGTAAGATTAGTAGAGGTTTAATGAAAATGTACAGAAAATGTTATCTTCAATATCTGGAGGAAATTTTATGCAGCAAATTAGAAGAAAGATTCAAGATTGTTTATAAATTTGGAATTTAAGGTTAAAGGGTAGTTGGGTTAAATAAAGTCAACTAAAAATAGTTTGACTGAAATTAAAAAGTTATAAAGAAAACCTGTAGGCTGTGAGCCTGATGAACCTCCATCATCATCTTTACATAACTGATTAATATGCTTCCCACACAACCCACGGTTTCCAAGAAAACTACAAATAAGCAACAAACAATTACAATTTTCTCATATAATTTGTATATAAAGTTGCATTATATTATTGATTGATTCCATATACATATATACGAATTTAATAAGCAAGAAATGAGAGTCAAAACTCACGAGGCAGTTTCAAATTGGTCAAGAACACCATCAGATGGGATTGGCCCTGATAGAAAATTGTTGGAGACATTGCTTCATGATATAACAGAGTCAACACAAAAGTCAACATACAAAAAAGTTTTAGAAAAAGTCAAAAGGGACTGAAGAATGAAGAATGAAGATAAGCATATACTTACAAATTCAAAAGGCTCTTCAAATTCCCAAGTGATGTGGGAATACTTCCACTCAATGAGTTGCTAGAAATATCCCTGTAACAAACACAAACAAACCCTAGTTTTAAGAAGAAGAAAAAAATTATTTATTGTGGACAATATAATATTTAAGTAACTTACAATGTTTGAAGATTAGAAAGATTTCCTATTTCAGTAGGAATAAACCCACTTAAGTAATTATTCTGCAAAAATCTGTCATAAAAGAACATTACTTTTACAAATATAAAATAAAAGATTACCTTTTTGCTATTTCATATACTAAAGTATTGTACTTACAAGCCTTGAAGCTCTGTACAATTTCCCAACTCTGGAGGAATTGCCCCATAAAAGTTGTTGTAATGAAGATCTCTACATCATATGATATATTATATATATAGCATCAGTAGTTAATTGCATGGTATATTTGTAAATAACAAGCACAAATGTTGAAACTTGAAAGATCACTTACAAAAATTTTAAATTATCTAGCCTTCCAATATCTGGTGATATGGGTCCACTCAACTTGTGATTGGAAAGATTCCTGTAAAGTTATATAGAAGAAATGTTAAGGTTTATAGTTTGCTGACTTGGCAATGATGTGGCATTGAAAAGGCTCTCCTATTGTGGATGCTTTAAGCGGATACTATAAGCTAAGGCTCCTAAAAGAGTAGTTAGTTCAATCCATTTAAGATAAAGTTTGAAGTATTGAGATCTTACAGATATACAACTCTTTTGGTCTTTAAATCACATGTAACCCCTTTCCACCCACATGGATCAGGATCTTCTGGCCTCCATTGATGAAGCATGCCATCAGAACTAATAATGTTTGTTCGGAAGTTTACAAGAGCTTCACCTAAAAAGATAAAATGAATATTACATTTCAAATATAAGGCAAGTTCATTCAATTAAAACTATACAGATATGACATAAGATTTAGTATGTGAAAAGCAAAAAAGGATAGAAGTTGGATATTCTGACATGAATTCTTGGATAAAAGGATAAACTAATGGTGAATTTAGTACAAAAGTCAATTGACATACCATCACTAGTGAGACATTGGAGTCTTTCCACCAGAAAGAAGAGCGATAGAAAGTAGAATAGCAATGGCCCCTGAAAAACTGTAAGGAGAATGCCCATTGCTGTGGTGATAAAGCATAATAAAGTTCCTACAACTCATCTGAGGCACTAGGTGCACCCCATCAACATGCAATCATATGAAGATATCTGTGAGATAGACAAGCTTCATCAATGAACATATAAGGAAGAAATTAAACTAAAAAGTTAAAATATCCCTTACATTCTTGTGAAAATAGGCTACAAAAGCATAACAATCCAGATACAACAGCTTTCCAGTAGGTGCAGAATGAAAGGATGAAGAACGTATTAAAAATAAGCCCTGGATTGGCTCGTAGCTTTGGAAACAGCTTATGAGAACTATGCTCCTGCAAAAGATAATCCAAGTAAATGACATATTTGTAGAAGGTAAGGGTTTTGAACGCTATATGTTTATCCTACAACACTATGTTTGCCATGAATAACATCAATCCTGCTCCACATACCATAACTGACCAAAAGCCATTTCAATAGGCTACAATCTTCAGGTTTGACAATAATAAAAGGCTATCCACACGTATCCGAGAAAAAAAAGAGGGAAAAGACCTAACATTAACAGACACTGCACCAAGCTAAAAAGATGCAATGATTCGCAAACAGTTCTTTAACAGAACAAAAACATAAAAACTATCATTTTTAAGTGATCAAAATCAGAATGTAAGCAAGTGAAGTACAAGTGGAGCTAATCTTATTTGATTTGGGTAAAATTACAACAATCCTAGCTCAGATTAGATCGGAAAAAGGTAAATTAACAAAACGTGAAGTGATACCTTGGTGTGGATCTGCGATTGAGCAAGTGAGAATTGAAAGTTTGAGGTGGAAAGTAGGGAAAGAGAGAGAGAGAGAGAGTATGAGAAAAGTAGAAAACAATCTAGATTTGTGCGATTGAAGAAAGAGAGAGAGAATATGGTTAGGGATTGATTAAAAGGGGGGGCGTGAAGGGAAGAAAGAGATGCAAGTGGGAAAAGAGTGTCCGTACTTGCGACCGACGCTTGGATTGCGTTGCTACTCCACTGCTTGCAACTTGGACTGTGGACTAAACACCAACGCATTTCATTTCTTTTATAATTTAGCCCTTCACTTTTCAAAGCTTTTACAAAAACTGTCCACCTTTTAAAACTTGTTTACAATTTTGATTTCGTTTTTGATAACTATTGTAAAAGACTCTTTTAATTTTGGCAGGCATCTTACGTAGTGTTTGGTCAAAATAAAGTCAACTTTGGTAGTGATATTATTTAACCAGTTAATTATTGTTTGATGTTATTTGTCTTCGGTTTGGTTCTTGTAATTATGCTAGTGTTTATTATTGGTAAAATAGGTTGGCATCTTCTATATGTTTTATTAATTAATATAAATGATTATCATTTATCAATTTCGAGTGATTTAAAAATTCGTTTTCATATTTTTTTTTATATAAAAAGTTAAAATAGTTAGTTTTTATGAAACAATTAGAAATAATACTATTAACAGCCGATTATATAAAATTGTGTATTAGCTTTTCAGAAGTTCATATATTTATAGTTTTGTTCAAGAAAACTACTCATGATTTTATTTCGTTGCAATTTTAATCCATCATTAGTTAAAAATAGATAGATGTTAATTCCATATGACCGACTATTGTCGTTTATTATTATTATTATTTTGCTTTAATTATTTGTTCTTGTTATTAATTTAAAATGTCATCCATAATCCTCTCCTCCCATTTCCCCTTCTACATGACAATCCCCACTTTTTTTTTTTTTGGATGGTACACTTCAAGGATTCTAAACTTATATATATTTAAAATCTTTTATTTCTAATAAATATCTTTGTAAATCTTTGTGATTATTTTTTTCCTTTTCACCATGTATTTTATGTATGTATTTATACCCCCTCAATAATGAGATTAATCGTTGTTTGGTAAAATCATTCTACCATTATATGGTATCAGCCTAAATACGATCCCCTCTTCTCAACCCTATCTTTCCGCCATTTTCCCTCTCAAAATTCTAAAGAGACCTTCCTCATGTCGACTTCCAATGATTCTTTCCTACCTATGGCAACCTTTCTCCACATAGTTACTATCAAATTAACCTCGTCTAACTGTCTTCTATAGCGAAATCAGGTTGTTCATATCTTAACTCATCAGAAGTGGCTTTCTTTTGTTGATGGTTCCTTTGTGATACCAGAAGCCACAATCACACCAGAAGGGAAAACAACAAGAAATCCAGTTATCCAGCACATTAAGTTTGGGTTGAAACTGATCAAAGGGTACTTCTTCTTCAACAATCCTCTCTTACTGATGAATCTATGGCCGAGGTTCTAGGCCACACTACTTCTCGTTCCCTCTGGTGTGCCCTAGAATCTGCGTACAATCATGCTTCTAAAGAACGAGCTCAGAATCTCAAAGACTCTATCCGTCAGTTAAGAAAAGGTGATTCCTTTGTTTCCGAATTTGCTATAAAATTTATGTCTTTATGTGATCAACTAGCAGCTATAGTCAACCCGTATCTGTTGATGATAAATCTCACTGGTTTCTTTGTGGTTTGGTACCTGCCTTCAAAACCTTTTCCACTACTTACCGTATTGGTGTTAAAAAAGGCGATGGACCCCGATGATGGAAGAGGGTGATAGACACCGATGCTAGAATAGGGGGAGACAGACTGAAAAACCTTTTAGCTCTTGGAGTGTGCACTAGTGATGGGTGGGTGAGATTTTGTTTGTTTTTTTTCTTTAATTCGAATAAGAAGTAAATAATTATAAGAAAATGAAAAAAGAATTATTCAAGGGCATATATGTCTTTTCATGTAGGGCATGGACCAAAACAACAAGGAAATGTTAACCATATGGACCAAAATCGTACAAGTTATCTAAAATTGGACCACTGATGCACCATCAAATAATTTTGAACCAAAACCATAGATTTTTGACAAGCACAAAGACCAATTTTACAATTTTGTCATTTTCAAATTCATCACCACAAACAAAAAATAAAATAAAATATAAGTTGGTTACTATTCAATACAAATAGCGTAAATAACTATTTTTGAAGTTAATATTTATATCTTTAGGTATCATTACACATAAAGTAGTCAAAGTTATACATTTAGTTAAATAAACATTTTTCTATAATATAAACTAAAATAAAATAAAAACTATAAATCGGTATTTTCTAACCTTCCTCTATGAGATTTCAATTAAAACCACAAAATTTCAAACCCTTCAATAATAAATATTAACCATCGATTTGAACTTTGAAACGTTATTTCAACCTTTAAAATCACAAAAACTCAAAAAATTCAAACCCTTAAAATCACAAAAATCCAAACTTCAATAATAAATATTAACCTTTTATGAAGTTTTGGAACATATAAAATATCCCTAAGCTTCAAATCTCTCCCCAATGTCATTTTCATAAAAACATCGCCAACACATTTGATATTTGTGGTGGTTGTATTTCTCACATGGAGCTTTTCACCATTATTAACATCCTTGTAAGTGTTTGAATTACTCTTTTCATGACACACATGACGAGTAGCTCCGATATTAATCCACAATTTTCTTGAATTTGTATTCAAGATATCCACCTCCGATACCATGACCATAAGATCCGTAATCATGGCCACCAACTCCACATCATCGTTCACCATGTTTTCTTGACGAAGATTATCACGTTTAGCTTGTGGGAACTCCGAAGCTTTATGATCTGGTTAGCCATAACTGTAGCACTTCATCTTCTTTTCGAAGTTTCTAGATTTAGGGCATAAGTTTTCACCCATCCCCTTTCCTTTGTATGTTCATTTGCCTTTGTTCTTGGAAGCTTGACCAACTTCCACCACATGGACCTTTGAAGGTTCAACACCACTACCTTTTCTTCAAGGCCATTAAATTCTCTTTTCAATGTGAATACGCACCGTAAGCTCCTCCACAATCATCTCATTTCTTTTATTCTTAAGGTAGCTCTTGAAGTTTATCCAACCACGAGAAAGCTTTTCAATTATTGATGCAACTTGGAAAGACTCAATGAGAATAACTCCTTCTGCAAAGTTATCATGTATAATGTCCTTAAAATCTTGGACTTAATTCATAACTGATTTCGAGTCAATGATTTTGAACTCTAAGAATATTTCAACAACATGCTTCTTGGTGCTAACATCATCGGTCTTATACTTTCGTTCCAGTGATTCCCAAAGTTGATTAGTCGTTGCACATTTTCAATAGACATTGTAAAATACATCAGGTAGCCCATTCAACATATAATTGCATCATAGAAATTTGAAGTGCTTTCAAGCCTCCACCGTTCTCACATATTGAGCGTTGGCTTGTCCCTCATCAACTTGGGGAGTAGTTTTTTGTTAAGCAACCAAGCGAAGTTTAGAGTGGTTAAGTAGAAGAACATCTTATTCAACCACCTTTTGAATTTAAGGACAACAAAGTTCTATGGCCTCTCAGCATGATTATCCATGGTGTTTGCCATAGGTTTGGTAAAATTGTGATTCACAGTTGGGGGAAAAGCTGGTGTTTCGTTTGATTTAGTCATTCTGAAAAGATTTATACTTTAAATGAATAATTAGAACCGCAAACGAAACTTTTTACACAAAACATAATATGCTTACACAAACCAAATATAACACAATTAGCAAAACCAAAAATGAAATAAAAGACAAGTAATTTAATCAACAAAAACTCGATTAAACAGTTTAGCGAAAATTTTGTTTACGATTGTTAGTTTTCGATAATAAATCTACAAAATAAATTATTAAAGAATCATATCGATTGACTAAGGCTTGTGTTTGATATAATTCCCTTAAATATATTTGCCGTTTGTTCCTAGGGTATAACAACTGAAGCAACATGTACTGTTGGACGAAACCACTTTCCTGAAAAGATCATCATAAAATATAGTAGAGAGAAATAGAAAATGGCATTCCTCAAGGTCTATTGGAATGATAAGCAAATGTAAATTTATATATTGATCTTTGTAACTTTAATTATTATTATTATTATTTTTAAAATAATTTTTTATTTATTTAGAAACCTCACAACATGTTAATTGTCATCGTACAGTGAGTGAGATGACAAACGGACAACAAGCTATGCCGTTAAGCCTTTTTAAATGGTAAAACTAATTCTTTAATTATTAATTCAGAATTAATTAAATTAATCATGCATTAACTCATATTAAATATACTAGTTACAAAAACTTATAACCTTGACCAACACTCTAAAGTTTGTAACTATAATCATTAATTTGAAATTAAATTAATTAATTGTGCATTAACTCACATTAAATACATCAGTTACAAAAATATAACATGAACCAAAACTTTAAAGTTCTTCAACAACATAGTTGTGCGGCCCATAATTTCGGAGATACATTTGTGTCCGTAGGTCACGCATGCACATGAGTTTATAGAAAATCCATAATTTGCAACCCCATGCAGGCCTATATAGGCATTAGAGTAAAACCATACATAAAAATTTGTAAGCCCATTACATATCTATGCTTATAAACACACTAAAAGTTTACTTTTATCCATTTATTTGCTAATTTTATTTCTAAATACTCATCTTTGAGCATTGATATCTCATTCACACATATTTGGTTTTGGACACAACATATATTGTTTCGGAGTTCTCATGGAGGAAAACATAACTCATTAAGGATTAATAATATATAAAATATATATTTATATTTAAATGTGTCCAAAGTTTAATAAAAATAGATAATTTTTATTAAAATTTCCAACAAATGTGACTATAATATCGAATATATGAGACAAGTTGATGTAGCTTGTATTTAAATTGCATCCTCTAAGACGTAGTTATTGATTACAACATCGATATGTAAACACATAAAAAGTAGCTTCTATCACTACTAGAAAACTGGGCGATTTCCGACGGCCATATCCGTCGGAAATCCGTCGCTAAACAAGTTTTCCGACGGAATTCGTTCTGTCGTAAAAAGCCCCGTGGGTAATTAATTGTGACGGAATACCGACGGAATTTCCGACAGATTTCCGACGGACAGCGACGACCATTTGTCGGACCTCTTTGACCAAATTAACGACGCAATAACGACGAAGTACCAACGGATACTGTTTGTGACGGATTACTGACGAAAACTTCTTTGTAACGGATTACCGACGGATAGTTTTAGTCACGGATTACCGACGGATAATTAATTACCGACAAATAGTTTTAGTGACGGATTACCGACGGAACAATAAGTGACGGTTTACCGACAGAACCGTAAGTGACGGATTACTGACGGAATCATAAGTAACGGGTTACCGACGAATTGTTTTTTGTGACGGATTTCTGACGGATGTTCTTACTTTTCGTTTGTGACTATTCAGTCACTGCTCCGTCGGTAAAATGATTTTTTAAAAAGAAAAAATAATTAAAAAATAAAAAAATCCAATTTTTATCCACATAAATGCAAAAAGTAAATCGAAGTGAATACATAAAAAAGAAATACGATAAAGTGTCACAAAATATCATCACACCACATACGATTACCATATTTAATTAACCGTCTAACAAGACACTAATTGGTATTCCAAAATACCTAATTAAACATCATACTTCGGATGTGATTACCAATTGTTTGAACATAACTAAAAAGTGTCACAAAATATGATTACCAATATTTTAGATTAGAAACATAAACTAATTTCTTTGTGGTGGATTTCCGGAGAAATTGTTTTGCTTGAAAAAATCCGTCATTTGTGCTTCAAGCAAGGCATGCTTTTTTTGCATCTCCTCCATTTCCAATTCCCTTTGTGTGTCTCGTGCTTCCCTTTGTGCTTCAGCTTCCCGCATGCTATCCATTTCATTGCGCAATCTTTCTACCTAAAAATGGTAAGACAAACATAAATAATTAATAAAACCATTATAGCAATGTACTTATAATAACAACATATTTTCATTTTTTTCCATTATAGCAATCAAAGTACTCATTATAACATGCTATACTTTTTGTCCATTATAGCAACGTACTCATAATAACAACTTACTTTGAGTTTTTTTATCCATTATAGCAATCAATTTAATCCATAATAACAACATACTATACTTTTTGTCCATTATAGCAACGTATTCATAATAACAACATACTTCGACTTTTTTACCCATTATAGTAATCAAATACTCATAATAACAACATACTATACTTTTTATCCATTATAGAAACATACACAAAATAACAACATATTTTGACTTTTTTACCCATTATAGTAATCAAAGTACTCATAATAACAACACACTACACTTTTTATCCATTATAGCAATGTACTAATAATAACATACTATACTTTTTATTCATTATAGTAATGTACTAATAAAAAGAACATACCTCTTCATTTTGCACATAATGTGAGCTGTCACCCCCCACAGATAGTAACCCCGTAAACAAAAACTGACTATCGGCAGTCCCAATCCCATACATACGACCCTTGTGGGTCCCTTTCTGTCTCTGCAACTGTGACATGTTCCATACATCAACATCGTGCACATGCTTTGTGGGATCATCTCCATATTTCTCACTCAGTCCCCTCATATATGAATCCTATAATTTACCAAAATAACATCATTGTGATTATAACAAAAATTGAAACTATAAAATATAGAAATGATAAAGTTAACTTACATGTGCCTAGCGTGTAGTCTCTGAGCAAAAGTGCAAATTGGAACGATCACCTTCAAAATATCTTTTCTTTGATTCCTTATCAAGACGGGTCTTCATAAACAGATCCAACCATGATGGATCTTTACATGTTGCTTCTTTCTACATAAACGACACAATATAATTGTAGTTAGTGTTAAGAAAAGTAGATTAGTAAGCTTTATAACTTCAATTATTTACCAGTTTCCTGCGATGGTCAGTATTTCCAATGCTCCCACCTGTGTGCCTCCCAGTCTTCCCATTAGCACCGGGATGTATGTTAACACCAAATTTGGAACATTCTTCCCTCTTTCCTTGTATCTACTTTCTCCACAAACTACACAACAATGTAGCTCTGCATATCGACCCCAGAATAGAATGCAATGGTTTATACACACATGAATCCGTTGTGACGGCAACTGTAGTAGCTTAAACATTTTCTTGGTCTCATAGATGTTGTCGGGAAGCTTTTCGCTAGGTGGTAGAATGTCTTTAACTATCGAAAGTAGATTATTAAATGACGTGTCTGAAACATTAGATTGTGATTTCCAGTCCAATAATCTGGTGGTGGTGGAGAGTGTGGAAGCGTTTGTACACCCGTCCCATAAAGGCTCACTCGCTTGTTTCAAGATTTTATAGAATTTTTGGGCTTCAAGATTTGGTTGTTGTGGTGTTTGCTGATAATAGAAAGCCTTAGGTTGGTGCATGGTTTCGATAACCATCTCCTCATATCTACGATAATCCATGTCTGGAGCCGTTTCAGTATTTGAACATTGACCTTCGTGTTGAGTTGCTATTGGGTTTGAACATTGGCGCATCTCTTGTGTTGGATATAATTCGCCATGTGCATGCCATAGCGAATAATTTTTCATGAATCCACGGTCAATAAGATGGTTTCTAATCAATGTTCTCACTTTGTATAAACGATTTTTGCATTTCGTACACGGACATCGAATTTCAAAAATCTCCTCCCCGTTGTTAATAGTACATTGGATGTTCGTTGCATTCGCATAAGCAAATTCCAAGAAATGTTTGACATATTGTGGCCATTCCGGATTAAATATACCATCAATAAGTCTTTTTGTGTACATCCATTCTCGATTAGACAACATTCCGATCTATAACTATAATATGACATTATCAAAACATCTAACCATTTCACAAAAATCTCACAAATTAACATCTATGTAATATTTCATAAAAATTACCTAAAACCTAACATTTAACCAAAAAAATCAACAATATCATAACATCAAACAAACTAAAACTTAACTAGCATCTATCATTTAGCTAACAATCTTACATTTCACAAACTTTATTAAAAATTTAACCTAAAACCTAACATTTAACCAAATAAATCAACATTATAGCAATATAATGCAAAATTTTGTATAAACAAGGTTCAAGAGGATTATGGCTGGAAAAAAACTGATCAGATGGCAATAAGCATTCGAAACTACCAACCCAAACAACCAAGTACTAGCATAAAGCACATAATATACTTAACTATTTTTTATTATAGTAATGAAGTAGTAATTGAGGCTGCTAAATACACGTTGGCTCTTGTTTTAACATCCTCTAACCTCATTGGTTGGAAACCATGACATTAAAATACAAGAGAGAGTGAGAAGAAACGCTTGAAGGTGGGAAAAAAAGCTTGAACCAGTAGTAATTACATAAACAAAAACAATAAAAAACCAAAAAAAAAAAATCTAGTGTTTACCTTTGTTGGAGAAGAACAAATCGAGCAAGAGTGTGGGTGACCGGAGCTAAGAAGAGCAGCGACCTACGCCAATGTCGACGACGGCAGCGCCGAGAAGAAGGCTCTGGCGATCGCCAAAAAGGAAGAAAGGGCGGTCTCCAGTCAACCAAGGCAGTAGCGGGAGAAAAGGGGAAAAAGACGCTAAGTGTTTGCTCTATGAAGTCTTTGTATCATATTAAAAAACGCGCTTTTTTAGTCTGATATATGAAGCCTTTGTATCATATTAAAAAACGCGCTTTTTTAGTCTGATATATGAAGCATGGGTAAATTAAAACATGCATCGGAAATCTGTCAGAATATAGAAAATCACGATTAAAAGTTGTCTGCTGGTTTCGAACTCACGCCAAAGATGCACAGGTCAAAGTTCTTCCATTAGTCTATAAGGCACTTTTGTTTAAAAATCTCCTTTTAAAATATTTGTAATCTTCTACACAGGTATATGATTCAACCGATCAAATCTTATTTTTTTTAATTATATTTTCTAAATCATAACACTAATAAATGAAAATTCAAATATTCTCTGATTTTATTTCTTAATTATATTTAACTTCTTTTATTTAATAATATTTTAGATAAGTCCGTCGCTTTTTACGATTTATTTTTCTCACACACATATAATACATCAATAACTACATATTTTATAAGTTATAGCTAAAATACACATACGTACATTCATGTACACCTTCGAGACCGACGTTTCAATTCTAATTTTCAAGTTTTCGGGGACCAAACATGGTTTTTATCGCTATAAATTTTATTACACCTTTTTTTTTTTACATCAATTAATACACATTGAACAAATTATAGTAAATTTAGTACATACAATACACCATCACGATCCCATGTATTAATATGTATTAGATGTTAAACCATAAGATCTTTAGCGGGGCTCCGATAGTGCGTACGGATATTCGGATATGTATATAAGCTATAATTTCGTAAATATACAATAATTGATGTATAATATATGTGTGAGAAAAATAAGCACAAAAAATGACGTATGTTGCTCGAAATGTCGAAAGTTAGACAGGTCCGTCGGAAAATACCGACGGATTAGTGACGGAAATTCATCAGTCGTCGCTAATCCGTCGGTAATTACCGACGAATTTCCGACGGATCTTTTCTAATTTTCGACTTTTCGAGCACCATACGTCGTTTTTTCCGATTTACTTTTCTCACACACATATAATACATCAATAACTACATATTTTATAAGTTATAGCTAAAATACACATACGTACACCCATGTCCACCTTCGAGACCGTCGTTTCAATTCTAATTTTCAAGTTTTCGGGTTATCGCTATAAATTTTATTACACCTTTGTTTTACACCAATTAATACACATTGAACAAATTATAGTAAATTTAGTATATACAATACACCATCACGATCCCATGTATTAATATGTATTAGATATTAAAGCATAAGATCTTTAGCGGGGCTCCGATAGTGCGCACGGATATTCGTATATGTATATCAGCTATAATTTCGTAATTATACAATAATTGATGTATAATATATGTGTGAGAAAAAATAAGCACAAAAAATGACGTACGGTGCTCGAAATGCCGAAAGTTAGACAGGTCCGTCGGAAAGCCGTCGGTAAATACCGACGGATTAGTGACGGAAATTCACGAGCCGTCGCTAATCCGTCGGTAATTACCGACGAATTTAAGACGGATCTTTTCTAATTTCCAACTTTTCGAGCACCATACGTCGTTTTTTCCGATTTATTTTTCTCACACACATATAATACATCAATAACTACATATTTTATAAGTTATAGCTAAAATACACATACGTACACCCATATACACCTTCGAGACCGACGTTTCAATTCTAATTTTCAAGTTTTCGGGGACCAAACATGGTTTTTATCGCTATAAATTTTATTACAACTTTGTTTTACATTAATTAATACACATTGAACAAATTATAGTAAATTTAATACATACAATACACCATCACGATCCCATGTATTAGATATTAAAGAATAAGATCTTTAGCGGGGCTCCGATAGTGCGCACGGATATTCGTATATGTATATTAGCTATAATTTCGTAATTATACAATAATTGATGTATAATATATGTGTGAGAAAAAATAAGCACAAAAAATGACGTACGGTGCTCGAAATGTCGAAAGTTAGACAGGTCCATCGGAAAGTCGTCGGTAAATACCGACGGATTAGTGACGGAAATTCACGAGCCGTCGCTAATCCGTCGGTAATTACCGACGAATTTCCAACGGATCTTTTCTAATTTCCAACTTTTCGAGCACCATACGTCGTTTTTTCCGATTTATTTTTCTCACACACATATAATACATCAATAACTACATATTTTATAAGTTATAGCTAAAATACACATACGTACACCCATATACACCTTCGAGACCGACGTTTCAATTCTAATTTTCAAGTTTTCGGGGACCAAACATGGTTTTTATCGCTATAAATTTTATTACAACTTTGTTTTACACCAATTAATACACATTGAACAAATTATAGTAAATTTAATACATACAATACACCATCACGATCCCATGTATTAGATGTTAAAGCATAAGATCTTTAGCAGGGCTCCGATAGTGCGCACGGATATTCGTATATGTATATCAGCTATAATTTCGTAATTATACAATAATTGATGTATAATATATGTGTGAGAAAAAATAAGCACAAAAAATGACGTACGGTGCTCGAAATGTCGAAAGTTACACAGGTCTGTCGGAAAGCCGTCGGTAAATACCAACGGATTAGTGATGGAAATTCACGAGCCGTCGCTAATCCGTCGGTAATTACCGACGAATTTCCGACGGATCTTTTCTAATTTCCGACTTTTCGAGCACCATACGTCGTTTTTTCCGATTTATTTTTCTCACACACATATAATACATCAATAACTACATATTTTATAAGTTATAGCTAAAATACACATACGTACACCTATATACACCTTCGAGACTGACGTTTCAATTCTAATTTTCAAGTTTTTGGGGACCAAACATGGTTTTTATCGCTATAAATTTTATTACACCTTTGTTTTACACCAATTAATACACATTGAACAAATTATACTAAATTTAATACATACAATACACCATCACGATCCCATGTATTAATATGTATTAGATGTTAAAGCATAAGATGTTTAGTGGGGCTCCGATAGTGCGCACGGATATCGTATATGTATATTAGCTATAATTTCGTAAGTATACAGCAATTGATGTATAATATATGTGTGAGAAAAACTAAACACAAAAAATGACGTATGTTACTCGAAATGTCGAAAGTTAGACAGGTCCGTCGGAAATTCGTCGGTATATACCGACGAACTAGTGACGGAATCTCATCCGCCGTCGCTAATCCGTCGGTAATTACCGATGAATTTCCGACGGATCTGTTCTAATTTCCGACTTTTCGAGCACCATGTCGTTTTTTTCGATTTATTTTTCTTACACACATATCATACTTCAATAAATACATATTTTATAAGTTATAGCTAAAATAAACATACGTACACCCATGTACACCTTCGGGACCGACGTTTCAATTTTAATTTTCAAGTTTTCGAGTAAAAAACAAGGCTTTTGTTACTTTATCTTCCTCACACCTTTATTATACATCATTAATATATTATTATTATTATTATTATTATTATTATTATTGCAATTATTTTTATTAGGGTCATTATTATTTATTAATACCAATAACTAGATAAATAGTAATTAAAGATAATAATTACTTTTTTCATCAAAAAAATAAATAATTATTTTATTTACTAATACTAATAGTTACGATAAAAAGTAATTAATAATAATTATTATATTATTTTAATTAAAAAAATAAAAAATTATTTAAGTAATAGTAATATTTTAAGTAATTAAACTATTTACATATACTATACTAATAGAAAAGTTGATTTATTTGATTGATAATTATAATATTTGAATTATAAAAGTTAATAGTTAATTACTTTTATTAATAATAACTGAGTTATTTTATAATAATATTAATAAAAAAAGTTACTTATTTTCTAAAACGACATTTACGCTTGATAATTTATAACTTTATAATAATTATAAGTGATAACAAAATTAATTATACTATGATAATTAGTAAATTGAATATATATATATATATATATATATATATATATATATATATATATATATATATATATATATATATATCAATTAATATTATTAATTGAAATATTTTTAGAATATTAGTATAAAAAAATATGATTTATTTTGTAAAAAAACAGTTCCATCGAAAATCCGTCGGTGATTACCGACGTAATACCAACAGATCGCCCAAGTATAGTATTTCGTTTAAATTCCGTCAA